AGAACTTTGCAAGACTGAGTCCCCGTTTTGTACCCCAAACCACCACCCCGAGAGGGGGCCATGATGTTCAGGATAGAAAAATCTGGTACCCAATATTCCCCCAATAATGGAGAATCAAATGGACAAGAAAATGGAAAATGAAATGGAAACTGGGGTTATATAGGGGTTATATGTATTAGCAGGTGATATGGAGAACTGCCTGGGTCCCTGTCAAGGATTTTGCAAAGAGTTTTTGTGGTAGAAGCTCCAGAGAAGTGGGGAGGCTTTTGTGGAGCTGTATCAATCGGCAATCTATAGGGTCTTGAGCAATTGTTCATCAGTATTTCGCAGGGGCCTGCCTGTACCTCTTTGACATTTGTTTTCCCTGTTCACTTGCGATCTGCGATGTTCGCACACCTGGATCCCTAGACTGAGCAGAAGCTCCGGTGAATCCATGCGAATTCTCTTCAACATTCGAAATGTGTTATCTAATGATGGCATCCTATGGGCGTGGGGTGTATGGTCAGCACTGCCGACCTTAGTCCGGATCGGAGTCTAGCTATCAGAGCAATTGTTGGGACCGGCAATTGGGGCTTAGGATGTGCCATGGTAACAAATCTGACAAGTCCTAGGCTATCATCGCGACTTCATACCCGCTGGAGGCCTTAGACCTTGAAAGCCAAAGAAGTCACGGAGGCAGCTCGGCAATGCGGGCATTCACTGGCCAATCTCACCTGAGCCCGAACCGAATGTAGGGACTATAGGGAGATACAGAGTATATATAGACAAGGGATTACATCATTAAGAAGGGTTCTGAACAGGAGTATTCTCGCTGAGTCCTGAATCGGGGTACACATAACACCACCGTGATCCACTTTTTGGAATTCTGGGGAAATCCAATTTCCGAATGCGGGCTCGAACTGCATCCAGCCTCCAGCTAGTTGCATAACCACTGCCTGGATCTCGAAGAGGAATCCCCAAAAGAATCGATTTCTATGCATGCTTGCATCTGTCATTGCATAGTTCATGAGGAAGGGCTATGAATTTGGCACCTCCCAACACTGCAAAAGTGAATTTGCACCCCTGTCTTGGATGCCCCGGCAGCCGAATCCCTACAGTCCCAAATGTGGGTATAAGAGTATCTCACAAGCAGGACCCCACTATGTATACCGCCAAATGCAATACAAAGCGGGGGCCTTAAGGACCTCAACAAAAAACAACGTGAAGGGGACTTTTTTGGTGGTTGAACCCGGCAAGACTTTGTTCCTCATGAACTACTATACAGAGAAGGAGGAGATTGGGGATTACAGTAAGTGTCACCGTTCAAAATACCTCACAGCCCTGCAGAGTTCCAGCTTCCATTTCCTTTGACCTCTCCACGTAAACTTTCCAGTATCATACGTTGAGCCCATGAATTCCTATATACCCCTCTAGTACCGCTAAACCCTAAACCCTTAGCCCCCCACTCAAGATACATGTGTAGCCTCCATGCAACCTATTGCTCCAAGGTCCTTGCTGTCGCAGCGGAGAACGGGCCAGGAAGTCCGGATCCACCTTCGGTTTAGGGTTTAGGGACTTCGTGGAACCAGGAAGGGTGTGGAAGCCTCCTTAATCTCTCTTTCTGGTTCTTAGTAGGGAATCAGGGAATATTATGCCTGTATAATCCCTGTATGACATATTCCCTATATTACCGTATATAATCCCTATATAGTATATTCCCTTGTTCCTTACTTTTATTTTGGGCACTCTAATGTAGAAGCCTGATTCAGTGCCTGTAATTATGGCATAGAGTACCTGACATTAAGCCTCAAAATGATGGCGGTAATTATTTCAGATCCTGTATTACAGGAAGCGTTCTTGAGGTCACAGAAGGCTTCTCCAAATTGTGGGTCTTCATTCTTCTGACAAGCCGGATTCAGCTCTAGGTGCAAGAAGGGACACATTTTTTGCAAAACCCCATGCATGTCTGGCGCTCTGATTCAGAGCGTGGGGGCTGGTTGGAGAGCTCCATCACCCGGAAACACCTACTCAAGTGAGAATTTACTATTACTATTGCTATTACTATTAATATTATTACGATTATTATACTGCTATTGTTACCATTCGTAAGAAGTAAGCTTCTGGGTACAGGTGGGGATCCTAAAGCTGTTGTCCCTCGGCAGTCCCGCCTGCCTGCATCGTAGTGTCTCAAAATTCAGAGGTTCTCTTAGATCCATACACACAACTCCCTGGTTCAGCCCCACAACTTCCCATTCAACGGGTCCTAGGCCAGGTCCCTAAACCCTAAACAGGAGCATGCTACATGCTGGGGCACTCAGCCTGTAAGGCCCTTAATACTCCAGATTTCCTGAAGAGACTGAAGGTGACCCAACGAGACCCCCTACCCTCTCCACCAGGCCTTCCCACGGCGTGTCGGTGTCCCCAAGCCGGGGCACCGCTTGGGGGAACTGCCTGGTACATTTCGCACGCTTCTACAGATGGATGTCCGAAGAAATTATGGCCTGGCAAATTGGAATCCAAGGGTCTCTCTTTGGAGCATTGAAGCTGTTGGGGGGGGGGCTTGGTGGTGTGCAGTATGGACCCAAGTAGCAGGCTGTCAAATTCTCGTGCACCCCGAGATTACCACCATCCTCTTTGCAAGTCCCCTCAGACAGGAAACCTCATTTTGGGTAGGATCCTCTTTGTGGGGTTGCGGCTACCAAACCAAGGCAACGGCTTCACTAATCTGGGTTACCGTTGAGGAACTTAAGCTAAATGACTATGTATAACAATCCCCTTGTTCATTTATACCCATAATATGGTAACTTATATCAACTTCCTTAACAGCAACCCAGAAAATGGAACGGGTTTCAGCCATGAGGCTATCAGCGGCTGTTGCCGTTTTCTCCTGCTCCACTACTCATTGGGTCGTGGCCTCACCCTAATCCCAAACCCCAAACCCCTAAGCCCCAAATCACCGTTGCCTATGCCCCATTTACGCGAGGATGTCAGCGAAGGTCTGGAGAGGTAGCCGCCGCTCAGGGAAGCCCTTGGATTGCAGGGTTTGAGGCGTAGGTTTTAGGGTTGAAGGTTTGGGGCTTAAGGCCTAAGGTGTTGGGTTGGGCTTGGGTGATACGGTTTAGGCCTTGGTCCGTGTTACGATTTGAAGTTTACAAGGCGGACCCAACAAGAAGCTCCATGTCTGCACAATGCATCCTCTAAGGAAGGTGCTTCTGTGATTTTTTTGCCTAAGCCTTAAGCCCTAAACCCTAAATCCTAAACCCTACACCCTAAATCCTAAACCCTACACCCTAAATCCTAAACCCTGAATCCTCAACCCTAAATCCTAAACCCTAGAAGGTGTGTTAGAATAAAGGCATTGAGGCGGCAGACTCGGAGCTTGAAGCATAAACCTGCGAAGGAAAGTTGGAGGTTTCGCTCAAAGAGCGGCCGAAGGCCTAAACCCTAAACCTTGGGTTTAGGGTTTAGGGGACTATACCCTAAACCCTAAAGCCTAAGTAGTAGTTTCCATTTTCTTTTGATTTATCCCTATAAAATCCAAATATAACCGTTATATAAACACTGTATACCCTAAACCTGAAACCCTCATCACTAAACCTTAAACCCTAAACCCTAGATGGGAAGGAGCCTACCTAGCTGCAAGCCGTCCTTTCCGCACCTTCAGATGGACTTCCTGCCTGCATTGCAACCAAAACCCTAGAAAACCCTAGGGATCCAAATAACCCAATGTAGGCAACATGAGGCTAAAGGTCTATAGGGTTTAGGGTTTAGGGATCCAAATAACTCAATTTATTCCCGAATAAGGGAGAATCCAACGGAAAAGCAAATGGAAGATGAGATGGAAACCACAAGTTTATAGGGGTGCGTAGGGATCCAAATAGCCCAGTGTAGGTAACATTTGCAGACTTTTGGGCTCAATATAAGCATCATTTGTATACTTGGATCCCTGGGGAAGGTTGATAAGTCAGGGCATTGATGTACCCTTCGAAGGCTTTGCTGCTCAACGGCAAGAGTAGCATGGGTTGAGCTGCAGCGATTACGAAGAGGACTTGGTAGTTTCCCAAAATAAGGGGACCCCAATATAGCCCCCAAAATACTATAGTCCTTGTTATTGGGACCCCCATTTAAAAACTACCCCTGATGCGAAGCCCCTACTTTCAAATTTTCACCGGCCAACGCACGTGATGTGTCCATCCCCATGGCAGTTGAAGGTTGGACATGGCAGGAGGGGTTGCTGCTAAGGAAGTTGAATCAAGTTACCATAATAGAGGTATGTATTCCTTGTTCTAGTAACTTAGTTCAAGTTCCTTCGCTGCGGCCCAGGAGGATGGAGATACAATACTGCCCAGGCCAGTGTCCATCATGACAACCATATCTACCAAAGACTGCTTCAAGTGCAATGCAAGGCACTCAGCTCTCATAAGCTAAGACCGCGTATCACATGAGCTTCAGTCAATGCTTCCCATGGAAATCATGGACATGCGTTCCTATGAGGAATATGCTCACATGAGCCATTGTCTAAACTCCTAGCATCCCCCTTCATAACCCCTATGAAACCACCCTATATAGTCTCCTATATAACAACATTTAAGGAGTTTAGACCCTAAACCTTATAGAGTTCCATATATAATCCCCTAAACCCTAAACCCTATTTAATCTTCTATAGACCCCCCTTTAGGGAATGAGGACTACAGGTCATATGACGCTCCAAAAAAACGCAGCCCGGCTGCGAAAGCGCCCGGAGGCCCGGAGTGCAAGGTGAAGGGCTCCCTTCCTCCGAACCTGGTACCGGGTGCTCCAGGTAGGGATTCAGGGATTTAGGCATCTAGGGTTTAAGGATTTTTGAAAGCGCTCTTTTTGAACCTCCCGCAGGGTTTAGGGTTGAGGGATTCAGGGTGTAGGAATTTACGGTTCAGGCATTTAGGTGTTTGTCAGCACTCTCTTCGACCGTTTGCAATGCAGCCGGACGAAGGCCATACTTTACTGAGTTCTCAGCAAGGTTCAGGGATTTTTGTTTGGCCTCAAGCAAGGTATTGGCCAGCCTCACTTTGGAAGCAGCCTCCCCCAACCTCTGCAAAGAATGTACGTCGAACCTTGGCTATAGACGCGTCCTGGGTTCTCTTGTCGTCACAAAGGTCAACTTGCGCATGTCTCATGAGATCATCGTGGATTCGAATGACCTCCTTGGCACCTTGTTCAAATGCCCGTATATGTTGATATCCGAGGTTTGCTTGTTTGTCGCGTTCCGGAATAGTTCTGCCCACTTCGACCTTTCTGGCAATTTGCTCTGGCCATGGAGTCACGTACCACTTTGCAATATAGGCATCTCCACTGTCAATGTAGTCAACCCCTGTCGTCTTGTTTTGCCTGTCGTCAATGTAGACATGCCGACCAATGTCGTACCGGTGGGTGCTTGACGTTCCCCAATGCATGAAGCGGCTGTATTGTCCAATGGCATTCAATCTTTCCATGAAAACGTGCCGCTGCCGGAGCAAAGGCTGAAAGTACAGAAGTGGTCTTCGATCATCACCCGTCATGGCCAGGTTCGGAATATGCATGATGGAGGGAAGAGGGAACCGATCTTGTTTCTCATGTAGATCCAGTCTCAACCCGGGGTAAACTAGGAACTCCGTAGTTGTCAGAGCGACAACCCAGTCTTCCGTCACTTGCTTTTCCCAGAACATGACTTGCGCGTCGCACTTTCGAGAATCAAACACTTCGCCTGTCTCCGAAGGAACGATCTTCCAAGATGATGGCGCATAATCCTTGAATAGGTCAACGCTCCTGTCCGTGCTGTTGTAATCTATTGCGATGACCTGATCGAACATGGGGGCATGGTGGATGATGAAAAAAGGCAGTAGCAGCTCCTCGTTGCGGAAGTGGGTTACCATCGCCGTGTTCCGTCGCGAGGCGTTGCGCATAGGGTTGGGGATCGGCGTTGGGTGGTGAAACAAGCTGCGAAGGTGCTGCTGCTCATCAGCACGGACGCCCAAACGATGCACACTGGGTTCCGGGAAAGGCACCAGCGCCACCACCTCTTGTTTGGTTCCTGATTTTCGTAGCTTGTCAGCAATTTCATCGAAAAAGTTCCAGGCCAACACGAGAATGGCTATCGGCCGCCCATCTTCGAGCTGCGGGAGGCTCTGCGTCGGTCGAACAGGAATGGACGTCCCGGGGCAGTAGGTATTCTGTTTCAAAGGGGCATCATCTAGGACGAAATCCAAGAAAGAACCCTGAGAAGCAGTGGCATTGGTTCCAAGAATGAAATGCAGCAGCGTCATGCCTTTGGCCGCAGCACCATAAGCACCCACCATGTAACCCTTGGAGCGGAAAGCCGAGATTTCTCTGAAGACCCAATCGCGAATTGCCATCGCCTTGGCTTTGTAGGTCTCTGCGAAGAATTCGCTGGTCACACCATCCTGCTTCTCCAGCTCCAAGCGCTCTCTCAAAGTGGTGGATATCTTCCCACTGCCACCCAGCTCAAGCGTCACAAGGCATGATGTTCCATGGATAGGCGCAGTCTCGAACTTGGCGACCTGCAGTCCAGCAAGAACTGCTGCCTTGTAGAATGAGTGCCCCGTGAAAAAGGAGATGTGCTCGTGGTAGATCGTGTCGAATTCGCCCAGCTGCTGCATGTTGCACTGCGACGTTTGGATGTACAACTTTGTCTTTGGACCCATGACCGCAGCACATGCCTTGAGAAAGTCGACAGGTTTGGGCACATGCGCAAACACGTTCTGAGCCGTGATGGCAGTCAAATCATCACCTCGTGGAAGCTCCGGGAAATCCAACGGCCAGAACCCCACTCGCACTGTGTGGTTCTTGCGCTGTGCCAAGGCAGCGATGTTGACTGCCGGGTCCACACCATAGGTCTTCCAGCCCAGCTCTCTGAACGAGTCCAGCTGTGTACCATCATTACACGCCAATTCCAAGATGGAGCCTCTTTTCAATCCGCCGCTCTCCCGGTACACTTTCTGGGCCAACCAGTCAAAGTGCTGTTTCAGAGTGACACTGGTCCCTGATCTATACAGGTAGTGCTCAAAGAGGTCAGAACGGCTGGCGACATGGGACAGGTGGTAGTGCTGGCATCTTCGGCAGCGTACCAACTGCAGCGGGAAGCGGGGTGAGAGCAAGGCCGCCGACTTCTCTTTGTCGAATGCATTCGCAAATGGTTGCTTCCCAAGGTCCAGGACAAGCTGCAAGTCACGGGATCCACATACTGGACACGGGATCGACTCAACAGCCTCTTTCTTTTGATGTGCACCTTTGGGCAGGATGCTGTCAGGAATATTCTTGTCAAAGTCTGCGAGTGTGCTCTGCAGACTCTCGAGGAAGGTGAAGTTGAAAGTCTGCTCGAAGGAAGCGCAGTTCAGTGAGAAGCCAACGAATGAGGCGTTCTCTCGCTCCTCTGCCGTCAGCGGCGTTTGCAAATCCAGCTTCGCTCCGGTAATTGATGCAATGGTGGTGGCCATTTTCATAATCTTGGCATGAAAGGATGCCAAGTTCCAGATTTTGAGCCGGTCTCCTCCTGTCAGAGCTCGTCGCCGTTGAATTAGGAGCCGTATCGCTCTTGCAAGATCTGGTAAGGCTAGAAACGACCTCAAAGCATCATGCTGCTGTACTGGTAGGATGCCGCGGGTGTACGCATGCCGGAAAAGACTGGGGACAAGCAGGTCAGTTCTTTGGCCTGGTGACACACCAACCACCGTGCCAAAACGCAGCATTGAGATCAAGGGCCCTGCATATCCAGCAGCTCCAGTTATCTCCTGCAGCTTCTTCTCACGCTGGAACATGGACAACGAATACTCGTCCAACTTATCCACAAACACCTCATCGGTCTCGCTGGCGCTCATCCTACCCTCCGAGATGGCGGAAGTGGATGCTACGATGAAATGCTGGCGCGAATTCATCTTGGAGACAACGTCCACGACATCCTCAACGTTTACCTGCCACCGCTTCTGATGATCCAGTGCTGCGCAAGCTCTTCTGCCCGTACAGCCTCCCAGAAAAAGCACCGTATCAAATTGCTGGAGGTCTTCGGCGTCAAGGAATCTACTGTGGAGCTGAGTGATGCTCATGCCTGCAATGTTGGGATCCATGTCAAATCCTGTGACAAGGATGCCAGCTGACCGCAAATGCGAAGAGAGGTAGGAGCCAACGTTCCCCCCGCCACCAACAATAGCTACCGATGTACCATCCTGGCGAACATGGCCAGACATCTGACGTGTCCGAGCCGGGCTGAAAGGTTGATGCTTGGATGACAAGCTCTTCAAGGCAAAGTGGACAATCACCACAATCAGAGACAGCAGAAGGGCAGTGCATCGGAGAGAAGCCATTGCGCACGGTGAAACAGCTAAATGTTTGTGGTGCTGGTTCAGGGATTTAGGGTTTAGGGTTGAGGGCTTAGGAGGACGTGCTGTGCTAAGTATTGGGGGCCCTGGGTTCAGAAGTACCAGACAAGAGCCTAAACTGATAGTCTAGGCTCCAGCCTGACAGAACAAACCCATTCCAAGGTATGTGACAAAGGTTTGGAGATTTCTGTGTTGGGGGAGAGGGGGCGGGCTTGCAAGCATGCGCCTGTGTCAAGCGATTATGGTGACATGGAAAATCACTTGAACAGTGTTCCGAAACTGCCGCGTCTTTCAGGCAAACTGCGCATTCATTGCAGCTACTCTAAAGCACTTCAGCTTCAGACCACCTCACCAAATCAGGGATGCAAAGTCGTAACGCACAGGTGAGCCGGTCGTGCGACGATACACCAAATATCCCCTTTGGTAGTCCCCTATGTAAGCCCCTATATAACCCCCTTTAAGGAGTTTAGACTATGGATCATTTAGGCACGATGGCGCAAAGTCAGCAGTCAAGCTATGCTCCATACACCCTCTGAAACAAAAGCTGCAGCACCCGCTAAGAAGAGTAAAACGGCAAACAATAGTATCAGCAACAGAATGGAAGGCTTCTTGCCAACCCCAAAGATATGGTAGTTTCCCAAAATGGGAGGACCCCAAAATACAATAGCCCTCATTAAGTATAGGGACCCCCAAAACAGATACCTCTAATTTTGGGAAACCCCCATCGATTTGCACCCCTGCGCCCAGGATTCCTAACATGCACCTCTCTCCACTGATGCTTACTGGGGGCTGATGTAGACCCATGATTAATAAACCCCCTTTTTTAAGTGCCTGAATATTAGGATCCCTAGTATAGTCCCTATTAAGGGGAGGGGGTTTATCAATCAGGGGTCTGGGTTAGCAGGGAACAACTGAAGAAACATCTATGTAGGGAGGTTGGGATCACAGCGCTGGGAGCTAGGCGGGCTTTTCGCGGTGGAGTCCTCTCCAGGTGCGCTGCTGTCAACTTGGGGATCTCTGGATATTTCCTCTGCTTGAAAACCTCCCGTGGCAGGTTATAATATGACATAATATGATATAATATGATATAGTATGATATAGTATAATATAATACAATATAATATAGGCTTCAAAAGAATCCAGGTTGAAGGACGTTGGCTTGGCAACTTCAAGGTCCCTGCGAGTGGTGGCACAAAATCTAGCAGCGATGTCCATCTCTTAGTCAGAGGACATGGCCAATAATTTCAGCGTGTCTCATGCCACCAATGCCATCATTTGCTTGAGCACCTCGAGAATTTGAGCTTAAAGTAGCTAAAATGCTTAACGCTGAACCTTCTAGTCTCAACGTCCTTCCACACACCCCGTCCTTGTCAGCAAGGACTCGAAGTCTCGGCCTTGCATCTGCTTTCCCACGGATGCAAAGGTCCGACTGCAAAGCCTACGCCTACACCACTCTCCACTGCCGAGTACTTGCGAGCACTTGCTAGGTGATTCCGGGCACGTAATGTATAAGATAATCCACATGAGTGTCGTTGCACAGCACGTCAGTGTGCCAGCACGATAAGCAGGTAAGATGTGACAGTGGGAAGAGCCGGAGTACTGTTGCTAGACTCAAGAAAGCAAGAAGGACACAAGTCGAACCGCGAGATCAATCTCCTGCCCATGCTGTCCTAGAAGCCCCGAGAAGACATCCAATGGCAGATGCTCAAGTTAGTTGCAAGAAACAATCCAATACAATCGCTAAATATGCCTATATCCATACAACCCTATTTACTCCCCATATAACCCTACAGGTTTTGAAAGCAGGTTTCAGCAAGCCGTTCGCCTCAGAGGTCTCATGGGGTTTATCCAAATTGTGGCCCCCGTTTGGGTACCCTAAATATTAGGAAGCATATCATGCCAGGGACCCAAAAAGGGCCCATAACGTTGAAAGCTGCCACATATGGGTAGCCTTTGTTGCGGTGTCTAATCCTATGTAGGATCTAGGATCTCTCAACTTACCAAGAAGATTCTAATCGCATGGAATTCAGAAAGGTGAGGCGAGGGCTGCGCAGCTTCGTAGGGCTCGTGGTCGGTACGCCTTTGGTGAGCCGTGGAGATGTCTCCACCTTTCAAGCTTCGGCTTGGGATTTGGTCTCTCTAGCACCGTTTGAGGGGCGAAGGAAGACGCACATTTCCAGACATGGGCTTCTTTGGACAACTGCCCACGAAGGGACCTCTATCTTTCAAATAAATGGCTCCATTGGAGGCAAAGCTCGACTTGGGTAGGTTTGGGGGCCCTATAAAACTCAAATTGTGTTCAAACTTACCCCTGTAAAGGTGCGGCAAGGGGTGGAGCCTGGCGGGTAGGAGGGACTGAAGGACTGGATCCTAGGCTAGACCGATCCCTCCTACCGTAAGAGCCCGCACGTATGGAGTTAGTAAGGCCGTAATGTACCTACATTGTTCCCTTGTGGTGCCCATTACTGGGTGGAGGGCTGACCCTGAATCCTGGGGACGATTATTGGCATTCCGTAGGAATGTAGGCACCACTATAGGGATCCATCTTTTCATTCTCCACTAACCACCAGCAGGGAGAAGTCTGAATCATGTCTAACCCTGGATTCCTGGAGCCCCAACGCGTGAATCCTAAATCCTAAGCCCTAAACCCTAGCTTGCTGCGCTCACCCGTCAAGCTCTGAGACATGTGCTTCAAACAGCGTGCAGAGTCAAATTTTGGCCACAGCAGTAATACTGAACAACTAACAATGATAATAGTAATAGTAATAGTAATAGCCATATTAATAGTAATAGTCATAGTAATAGCGATAGCAATAGTAACAATAATGTGAGTCCTGACCTCATCCTTCAAGTCCCTCTCTCCCATCTTGCGAACTTGAGACTTCACACCTCTTACTTGGAGGGTCAGGGGGCAAATAGATTAATAATGGGAACATCTGGTGTTACTATCTGAGCTATAGTCTAAGCTTCTAGTATCCCCCTTAATAACCGCTATATTACCTCCCTATGTAATCCCCTATATAACCCCCTTTAAGGAGTTTGGACTATAGCTCATATGGGTTATAGGAGTTACTAACCTACTGACCAAGTCCCCCTGACCCCCAAGTAAGCCCTTCTTTCAGGGTACAATGGCCACAACTTCTTACTCCTCAGACTGTCCAACACCCTGAAGTTGAACAACCCCCCCCTCTGAGTAATTACTCGTTTTTGCGAGAAGGGCGTTTATAGTCCCCCTTAAGTAGATAGAATATGGCGTTGGGTATATCATAATAAGATCCCCAGATACCCCATATTCTATCTACTTAAGGGGGACTAAAAACCCTAAACCCTAAACCCTAGGGGACTATAGGCAGAGGGTGGGGAAAGCATCTTCCGCCTTCTTCTTTCGGTTGCCTTTCCTCTGCAAAGCCTGCAGGGCCAGAAAGAAATGGGCGACGGTTGAAGTTGGGTAGAAGAAGCTCCCCCTAAAATTCAACCCCCTCACCCGCCCGAGATTAAATACTCCCCATTGCGGTATATTATAGTATACTGGGAATATTCAGTATTAGAGGCGTGGGGGAGGCTTAATATCAGGGGAGAGGATTAATTTTGCAAACCTCTCCTGGACTTCCAAACAGAGTCATATTCAAAGAGCACCAGAATGCCTGGGAGGGCTTATGCTATCTGACCAATATCTAACAGCTTGTGTAAGAGCATCTCAGCCTGCTTCAGCACATGGAAGGACAAGATTGATTGCGCAAAATGCATACCAATAAGTTCGCAGGCCTGTATGGCATCAGCAGAAATCAAACTTTCCAAAACGGCTGTAAGCCGTATGTGTGCTTGCACTTTGGAATTACAGCAAGCTCCAAAGATAACCCCAGCAGCTCACACATGCCTGCTCAAACAGCCGCAAGGATTTCAAAGTCACTGCAGTCGCTAGCAACAGCTAGTATGCTAATATACTATGGTAGTTTCCATTTTCT